ACAAAGCAAAAATTATAACCATCCTATATAGATGAAATATTTAGGTATAATTTACATGCTCAAGCAAGGTGGGGGAGAATAAAAGAGTTAAAGTCAAATTTCTCTGCTCAATTTGAAGTGATAGAACATAAATGTATATTGTAACAGAGCTTCCTCTACATGCTACACAGTGAGATCAACTCAAAACACCACATGCCACTAAAAACTGAATCTCATGCACACATAAAAATGTTTAAGGAAGTCAAGGCATGCTAACACACTTTTGCAACCACAGCACTTAGGATCAGAAGTACAAAGCCAGCGTTGGTTGGCTACAAAGTGCTACCCTGTCTCAAGAAATGGATAAAGCCAGCCCCCAAAGCCCTAATGACACAGACTATCAATTGGTTCCCCCACCCACCCACACACCTGCCACCATGATTTATACCTGAGAAATCAGAATTTTAAGTTCACACCAACCTGTACATTGATTTTCATGGTAGCTTTATTTGTAATAGTCCCAAGCTCTAAGCAAGCCTTCCAGCAGGTGAATGGTTGAATACTTGTGCTCTGCCATATGTACAATGGGACACTCTCAGAGAATAACCTCTTGGCACATACCGTGACTCGGGTGGGGCTGGAGGGGCTGGTGCTTCAAGGAGAAAGCTCAAAACCATACGTGGTTTACGATCATCTTTATGTGGCGTTCTCAGGGCAGAATTCTCAGGGGAAGAGTGAGCTTTGCGGTTGCCTTTAGGAATGAGGTAGCGGGGTGACAAGGGACAGCAAGAGGGAGGTTTGTGTTGTGTGCCTCGATGATTATGGTGGTCACACAGATGTCCATATATATACACACACAGGGTAAGTCTGCAGAGAAACACACACACTGCCGCCCATAAAATTGGTGGGAACTAAGCCTGGTGTGGTGGCTCATACCTGTCATCCCAGCTATTGGGAGGTAGAAGTCAGAGGATTACAATCTGAGGCCAACATGGACAAAAAGATCTCAAGACCCCATCTCAACCAGTAGCTGGTGTGATAACACACTCCTGCTTTCCAGGTTACAGCAGTACGAATAGGAGGATCACAGTCCTGGTATATTTATGCAGTAGAGTCCCTGTCTAGTAAGGGCTCCGAGTTCAAACTTCAGTCTCTCTCCCTCGCCCCCCTCTCCCTCCCTCTCCCTCTCCTTTGTCTCTCTCCTCTCTCTGTTGTGTGTTTATGAGAGAGAGAGCGAGAGCGCATACTGCAGGTCTCACAGTGCCCTGGCCCTCCTGGTCTCAGTGAGTGTCCAGGCGTTGTCTGTGACCAGGGCCAGCCTCTCCTGCAGGCATGACCTCTCTTCCCTCCTTCCTCAGCCATGCGCAAGGGCACTTGCACCCCCCAGTCTATGCTTTCTCCATCTTCACACACCACTGTGTGTCCTGCCAAGAGGAGAGGAGGAATCCAGGGGTCCCCTGCACCCCCAAGTTGCCATGGCTACCTCTGCGTGATGAATTTGATTTCCAGCTGCTTCACTGAACTATAGTCTAACACTGTTATAATAAAGGGATTATTATTTCTGGGACAAGACAGAAGTTATGATTCTGTGTGTGTGTGTGTGTGTGTGTGTGTGTGTGTGTATGCAAGTTCTGGGACTTGAACTCAGGGCCTTGGCACTGTCTCTGAGCTTTCTCACTCAAGGCTGGTACTCTACCACTTGAGTCACACTTTCATTTCCAGCTTTTTGCTGGTTGGTTAAAGGTAAAAGTATCCCACGATGGCTTTGGACTGCAGTCCTCAGATCTCAGCGTCTTTAGCAGCAAAGGTTACGGTTGTGATTTCCTCATGCTGTGAAGTAGGGCTTCCCAGCCTGGCAGAAGTCTGGCCCGGCCCAACCCTGCCCTTGTCTGCTTGGACTGTGAATGGGAGCGGTCTGCCCATGTTCCCACCAGTCCTTGGCTCCAGTGCCTACATCTGTCTTGTCAACTTTCACCCTGGGCCCTGGCAGAATCCATAACTTCCTCCTCTGCCATACCCCTGGTGCCTCTTTTTGGTTTTTTCCTAGTACTGAGTTTTGAGCTCATGGTCTCTCACTTGCTCAGCTTTGCTTGTTCCGCGGGTGCTCCACTGCATGAGCCACGCCTCCAGCTCAGCTTTTTGGCTGGTTATTTTGGAGATGGAATCTTGCACTTTCCTGCTTGAGCTCCCTCGAACCTTGATCCTCCAGATTTCAGCCTCGTGAGTGGTTACAATTACAGGTGTGAGCCACTCTGTCCCTGCTGACCTCCAGAAGTGGGCTTCCTGACTCCTGCCCAGCTATGATTAGACGTGGGGCCCCTGGGAGGAAATGGGAAGATGGTGGGTGCAGAGCAAGGGCTGCAGGTCTCTCCTGATTCCTGCCAGCTGTGAGCCTCTGCTGAGGCCCCTCTGAGGCCCGCCGGGCTGATGCCCACGGTAACCTCCTCCTCCCTCGTCCCTGGGGCTGCAGAGTGCTGATGGAATGGCTGCTGGGTCCCTTGTCTGGAGATGGGCTCTTGTTGGGGTGTCCTCTTTGTTGGGCCTGTGGGAATAGCCCCTCAAGGGTGGCGACTCATTGCTGCCTCCAGAGGCTGCTCACGGCTGGCACTGTGTCGTTGTGTATGGAATACATGCACGGATGGAAGGTGGAGGCCCGGGGTGCTGGGCCTTGGTTCATAGCTGCCCTGGCTGCCAGTCAACCTTGGGACCCAGACCTCCCCTCATCCCTCCTGGGAGCAGCCTTGCGATTGCCACCAGGGAGACTGGGCAACTGACCACCAAGGGTGACCCCCCCCCCATGGCCACTGGGCCTGCTAGGGGAGAAGGGGGGGAAGGGGTTCCCCACCAGCTACCTGGGGCGTGGAGCAGCCATCTGTTGGTTCTGTGGCTGCCTGTGGTGCGAGGTTTAGGTTGCAGTAACCAGTGTTGGGGGGCTGCCCCCCCCCATGCTGGCCAGGCCAGGCTACCGAGACTGGTGAGGCAGGGTGGCTTGCTGTGGGTGCTGAACTGGGCTCTGAGTTTCTGCTTTTCACCCCAGACCCCCAAACTGCACACAAACCAGCTGCCCCAGGCTCAGCTCCCCTCCTCAGTTTCCCCTTCTGCCGAAGCAGACGCCACCCTCTCCAGGAAGCCCTCGAGGCTCTTCCCATGCTGGCCTGGAGCCCCAGGCCCTGTGCTGCCCTGAGCTGCCCGCCTCTCCCCACGTCCCGCAGATGACTTCCCTGAGGGTCTCCAGCTCTGGCAGGCGTGGGACACGAGCTCAACGTGGGGTGGGGGACTCTGGGCAGCTGTCAGGGCCCCTATAGTGAGGACCCCACTCTTGTCCCGCCACTCATCTCCTCTGGTGCCTAGGAGAGCCCTGCCCTCCCGCAGCCACAGCTGCCCTGCCCCAAGCCTGGCTTGACCCCACCCCTGGCCAGGCCCCGCCCTGGCTCGGCCCCGCCCCTGGCCCCGGTGGGGGCCAGAGCCTCCAAAGGTGCCCAGTGGCCCAGACCTGGGGGAGGAGCCTGCAGCCTACAGCAGTGGCCCCAGATGAAGGTCAGATTCCAGATCAGGAACAGTTTGCCCCTGGGGGCCAGAGGTGGGGGCACGAGGATGGGGGGCTCTACCACCAGAGCTTTGGGACCATGAAGGGAGGGTCCCCAGGCCAGGTGGGGGATGTGATTTCCATGTGTCTGGCACCAGGCAGGAGGGTGCCCCGGAACTGAGTGGGAAGGAGGAACAGGCCAAGACACGCAGAGCCTTAAGACCACCCCCCTCCCCCGCCTTCTCTCCCAGGGGCCTGGGGCTGGGACTGGTTCCCTGGGGTAGCCCCAGAGCCCCTCATGTGGCTGGCAGGTGGACTGGGGGCCTGGGAAGGGCTCTCCTCCTCAAGTCACAGTCCTGGTGAGCACATGCTCAGTAGCAGGAAGTACTAGAGCTAGACTCAGAGAGAGACTTTTTCTCACTTGCTCCAGGGACTTGAAAGACCTAGTACCGTTCATGGTGGGACAGAGGGTGGGCAGGGGGTGAGGAGAGCTTGACAGGGCTCAGCTGGAGGACTGAGGGCTGGCTCTAGGCTCAGGACGGGTTTTTCCTGTGGGTGGGGCTCTGGCACTGCAGGTCCCCACACGTACACAGCCTCCATCATGGGCTCACACACACACAAACTCAATCCCTTGGGGCTCTCAAGGAGCCCCAACTGTCCTAGGCTGTCCTCTGCCACCTCAGTATGGGAATGTGGAGGCAGATGTGGCCACCTCTGGCGCCTCCAGCATGCAGGCCTGCCCTGAGCTCAGTCCCCTCCGCCCTGCCTCCCCCTGCCTCCCCCTGACTCCCCCCACGCCGCTGCCTTCCCTTCCTGCCCACACTAGCCGGCAAAGCTGAGGACCCCTCCCCCAGCCCATCATTCAGCTGTGGCCTCCAACAAGGCCCAGCCACCCCCAAAATGGGCTCAGAGAGACCCCTTAAACCTCCCCCCAAGGAGTCCACAGTAAAAATACACCACAAACACTTAAGTGTTTTTTCTCCTTTGCAGATTTTTTTTGTTTAGTAGACATAGTTTTTTTTCTTTCTCATTTCACAGTAAACATTTGCAAATATAGAAATTTTTTTTTTTCTGTACAACAACTAACGACAGTGTGCAATGGGACGCGGCTGGGGCCCCTGACGCCCCCTGGTGGTGCCCTCCAGCCATGGCAGCCACCCTGCGCCTCCGACCCAAGACCCCAGGGTCCCCCCGGCCCCCCTCCCCCATCCACTCTACCCCTTCCTGGTGGCCTCAGGACAGACACGGGTGGTCCAGAGTCCACAGAAAACCAGTTCTGGGGGGGGGGGTCCTAGTAGGCCACACCCCCAGAGCAGGTGTTTTGTCTTTTTTTTTTTTTAGCAGTTTAACTTTTATAATTTTTTTTAAAAAAGGAAGAACATAAAGAGAAAGAGTTAAAAGAAAAAGCAGAGAAGAATCAAAAAAGTAAAGATAATGAAAAAAAAACCCACCCCCACCCCCACCCCTAAGACACAGTTTTCCGGAGTCCCGTGTGCGTGTGTGTGCATGTGTATGTGTGTGCATGTGTGCACGTGCATACCGCTGGTGCCAGGTCACAGATGAGCGTGAACATCTATCTGTCACCCTCCAAAGGTCCCCTCATGGTCCCCGCTGCTGGCCCAGCCGGGTGTGCGTGTGTTGGGGTTTGTGGTGAGAATCGGAGTCATGACAGGTCATGTGGGGTTTTTTTTTTGGTCCAGTGGGCATCAGGGGTTTGGGGGAGACAGGGGGCCCTCGGGGGCCCTCAAGGGCCAGCTGGGGCTCAGGACTTGTGCTGGGCGGACACCCCCTTCCAGTAGTCCAGGATGTCATGGAGGTCCTCGTCCTTGGCAAACTGGACCTTCTTGCGCAGGGCATGGCCAGCGGCCATGAACTCGTCATCATCGTCCTTGTGTCGCCGGCGGCTGAGCCTCAGGCGCCCCCAGATGCTCTGGGGGGCGCGGCAGCTGTACTCGGGGCTGGAGGAGTAGCTGAGGTTGTGGTATTGGGGTGACAGCTGGGAGTAGGCCAGATCACGGGGCCGGGGCCGGGTGAGTGGCTCCAGGATGCAGGTCTTGCGGCCGCCCAGCCCCTCGTGGGCCGGCGCGGGGGGCGGCGGCGGCGGGGGCGCGGGGGGCTCGGCGGCGTGGGGGCCGGGGTACGAGTGGCGGTGCTCGCTGCCGAATGCGCGGCCCTTCTCGGCCTCGGCCCGCAGCGCGGCGGCAGCGGGGGTCACAGTGAGGATGGCGTCGGGCACCGGGGAGCTCTTCTCGATGTACTTGGCCTCGCTGACCGCAGCCTTGTGCGCGCCGGCGGCGGCCGTGGACTCCGGGCGGAAGGCTCGAGGGCTGCGCGTGGAGCCGCTGGACGAGGTGCTGGCCCTCGGGGGCCCCGCGGCCTCCACGCTGTGGTGTCGCTGCAGGCCGTGACCGAAGGCCTCCTTGTACACGGGGGACAGGAAGCTGTGCTTGGGGGCCAGTGGCTCGGCCAGCAGCACCAGCTGCGGCTCAGCGGAGGCCACAGGCCCGGCCTTGGCGCCCTGGAAGGCGCTGGCCTCGGACTTGAGGGCATCGATGCAGTTGTTGATGATCTGGTTCACCTTGTCCACTTCTTTGGCGATGGTGGAGATCTCGGCCACAGAGCTCTGGCTGTCGGGGCCTGGCCGGCCCAGCTCACAGTCCCGACGTTCTGGGGGCTCCCCGGTACGTACCTCCATATAGTTGCCCTTGCTGGGTTTGGAAGTGTCGCTGCTCTCCACCAGCTTGTACTGCTCCACCTCACCGCCGGGCGTGGGCAGGTAGGGGATGCGGGTCACAGCCTCGGGGCCCAGCAGCGGGCCCTGAGCCAGCGGGGCCAGGCCGGGTGCCTCCATCTCTGGCCCATACTTGAGCTCGATGATGCTCTTCTTCAGGCTCCCGGCGGCGGCGGCCGCAGCAGCCTTCTTGTGCTTTTCCTCGCGCCGCCTCCTCTTCCTCAGGCAGTAGTAGACCACCCCCAAGACCAGCAGCATGCCGAACAGGCAGCCCAGTGTGGTCATGATGTAATGCGTGGCCGTGGAGGGGCTGGGCACGGGCCCAGGCGGGCTGGGAGGCTTGGGCAGGCAGATGGTGAGGCAGGTGTGGTTGTGGTGAGTGCCGGAGCTGGTGGACACCACGCAGTAGGTGTAGTTGGTGAGTGTGTACAGGTTGGTGAGGCGGATCTCCTCCTGCGCCTGCGTCAGCTTGGACACGGTGGACGACTTGCTGTTGTTAAAATGTTCCAGGGTGTACATGCGGTTGAACGGGCTGGGCAGCTGCACGGTGATGGTGGCCGAGTTCTGGGTCAACTGCTTCACTTTGATGAGGGGCCGGGCCTCCGCCTGGGTGGCCAGGGTGGGCAGGGCCACCAGCGGCGTGGTGCCGTCCCCGGAGAAGCACTCCTCCTCCGGGCAGGGCTCCTCGCTGGGCTCTGGTGGCGGTGGCGGCGGTGGAGGTGGAGAGTGTCCAGGCTGGGGGCGCCCCCCGAGGCTCAGGCGGGGTACGGCCACCTCGGCCACGTAGGAGTCATCAGTACAGACAGACTGCAGCTTGCTGAGGATGCTGCGGTGGCCGTGCCGGCCCTGGCCCAGCAGGAAGTAGCCGGCATAGACGGGCGGCGACTCACACTGCACCCGATCGTGTGTGTGGGTGGCGTTGGTGAAGGCGGCCAGCCAGCGCAGGAAGCCCAGCAGCTCGCAGGAGCAGTAGAAGGGGTTGCTGTACAGCTCGCACACCGACAGCTTGGCCAGGCCGGCGAAGGTGCCGCTGCCCAGCTGCTGGATGCGGTTCATGGAGAGGTCGATGTTGACGAGGTTGGGGCATTCCCAGAAGGCACTGGCCATGACCACCTCGATGAGGTTGGCCTGCAGGTACAGGTACTCCAGCTTGCTGAGGCCGCGCAGCATACCCTCCGTGAGGTTGCGCAGCCGGTTGTAGCCCAGCTGCAGCACCTGCAGGTTGAACTGGCCCGAGAAGGCGCCGTCCTCCACGTAGCCGATCTCGTTCTTGGTGAGGTTGAGGTAAGTCAGGTTCCCGAAGCGGCTCAGCGACGCGAACTGCACGCTGCGAATCCGGTTCTCGTTCAGCCGCAGGTCCACGATGGTGTGGTTGATCTGCTGCGGGATGGCCTCGTACGGAGGCTGGTTCTGACTGCAGATGGCCAGCCACACGAAGCCCTTGTCGCCCTCAATCAGCCAGCAGTCGCCCCGCGCCAGGCCCCCCGCGTGCAGCAGCGTGGCGGCCGCCACGCACGCCCACAGCACGCTCCACCCGCACCCGGCCATCGGGACCGCCCTGCTCAAGGGGGAGGGGGAGGATGAGGGATCGGGAGGGGCCGGAGAGGCGGGACGGGGAGCTGCCCCAACTCTCAGGGGTGTCCTGTCCCAAGCCGCATGGCCGCAGGCGCGAGGAGGGAGGGCGGCTCCCTCACGGCGCGGCGCAGCCCGTCATCTTCTGCCCCGGTGCTGTGGGGACCTCGGCTTCCCGCCCCATGGGCCTGGGGGCCCTGGTGGCTCTGCTCCGCGATGGGGCGGCTCTGGAGGGTCCCTGCTGCAAGACAAAAGAGAAAAAAAGCAGGTCGTGAAGCCACGCCCACCGAAACCACGCCCACCGGAGCCAGACCCAGTGAGCTCATCCACAGAAACCACACCCACCATAGCCACGCCCACCAAGGCCACGAAGCCGCGCCCATCGGGAGCCACACCCACTGAACCCATACCCAGTGAGCCCTGGTCCATTGGAGCCACGCCGTCAAGACCACACCCACCACCACCATACCCAGCCAGGCCACGCCCACAGAAACCACGCCCACCGGAGCCAGACCCAGTGAGAGCTCATCCACAGAAACCACACCCACCATAGCCACGCCCACCAAGGCCACGAAGCCGCGCCCATGGGGGACCACACCCACTGAACCCATACCCAGTGAGCCCTCGTCCATTGGAGCCGTGCCGTCAAGACCACACCCACCACCACCATACCCAGCCAGGCCACGCCCACCGGAGCCAGACCCAGTGAGAGCTCATCCACAGAAACCACACCCACCATAGCCACGCCCACCAAGGCCACGAAGCCGCGCCCATCGGGAGCCACACCCACTGAACCCATACCCAGTGAGCCCTCGTCCATTAGAGCCACGCCGTCAAGACCACACCCACCACCACCATACCCAGCCAGGCCACGCCCACAGAGACCACAACCACAGGTCACACTCACCGTGGCCGCACCCACGGAGGCTACATCCTTCGCCCGGGGAAAAGTGGCTGTAAAATAGCGGAGACTGGAACAGAGACCTCGGAGCACGGCACGGGGGTGGGGGTGGGCTGAGATGACCCAAGGAGCCCCAGGTACCCGTGTCCACGTCCTAGCTCGCAGGGTGGACATGATACCCCTGCATGGCCGAGTCCTGCCACAGCATGGAGTCACGGCTGCGAAACACAGCCCTGAACCAACTAGGAAACCGAGAGACCTAAAGCCACTCAGCCAACGAGGGAAGGGGCCATGGAGCCTCATCTGCGCCCCTGCATGGCCCCAGGCTGCCCTCCTGGGGAGGACCAGCTACAGGGGCTGCCCAGAGCCTGGCAGTGCTCCGTGCCTGGGCTCGGCTCCTCTCCAGTCCTGGCATAGGTAGCCAGCAGGATGAGGGGCGGGTGGGCTTGCTTGTTAATATCTGGATTTACTGCGGCCTCCGCCACTGACTGCTCCCCGGCCTGGCTGGCAGCCAGCCGGGTGTATTTCACCATATTGACGTCTGTAACTAGTCCGCACTGAGACGGCTCAAATTAGGAGAAAAAATATAATGATGGGGAATGGATTTTCCCTCCTTTGGAAACTTCATAAAGAACAATTCTGATCTGGCTCCCGGGGAAGGCTGCTTCTGATTTAAAGAGAGGGGAGAGATCGGAGCCAGGGAGAGAGAGGCTGAAGCCCCGCGCCTGCCAGCTACAGGGCCCTGTGGATGGGGCAAACTTGGGCCTGCATCCCAAACTCGGGCCAGCGTAAGAATGGGGTGTTCTGGATCACATAATGAAAGCCACATTTGAGAGGGGCCTGGTAAGGTCTGGCGGGCTGCCTCGCTCTCCACTGCCCCTATCATTGCTCACACCGTGGAGAGGCACTGGGATTCCAGCCTCCGGAAGGGGGTGCCGAGCCCAGCCCCACTCCTGGGAGGTGTGGCCACTTGGCGTGATGGAAATCAGCGTTAATCTCTAGCTCAAAATAACTCCAAGTTAAGGAGGATTAAAAAGCTCTACCCAGGTGCCTGCCACCGCTGCCTGCCACCTGCCCGGCTCCCAGGGCTGGAGCTGCACACGGGGAACATGCATTTACACACACGTGCTGGCTGACCATGTACCTACCCACTTACACACACGTTTGCACACACGTGGGACCCTGTGTGTGAATGGCACTGTCGGGCTCCAGATCCAGCAGGCGCAGCCCAGCCCTGTTCACTGTCCCATCCCCCACCAGCAGAGGTCTAGGGATTTGTGCTCTGGTTCATGAAGCCAAAAACAATCTCAGGCCCCCTCTACATCCAGCCGGGCGCTGCTGGCTCTGGGGACCGGGGGTTCCACATTCCAGCCTTGACTAGTGCCCTGCACCTGCCTAGAGCATGCCACCCAGCCCTGCCTCACTGCCAGGTACCAGGTGCTGAGCCAGGCTAAGGACAAGTGTCTTTCAAGGGTCCCAGCCAAGGGGAGGGGGGGGGTGGAGGGGTGGAGGGGGAACTACCAGGGGAATCACTGGGCAGGTCTAGGACAGCCCAGGCCCCATCCTTCACCCAGCCCCTGCCTCCCCTCCCCCTCCCCAGTCACACCAGCCCTGTTCTGTGGTCGGTTTTTCACTCATCAAACCTCAGTGCTGGCAGCCCCTACTCTCCTCCAGCCTCTCCAGACTTGGGGCAGGGGTCTGCCGCACCCCAGGGAGATGCCCCAGCCCCTGGGCCTCTCGCCTTGAGAGACACGGAGGCCACCCCAGGTCCTCACCACCTTTTCTTCTCTGCTGAGTCCCCACAACCCCCATCCACACCCCTGTCCAGTCTTGATATGCAACGGCTGGACCAGACATCCTGGCGTGCCATCTAGCTCAGTGCCCCCTGCCCCTGCCCCATGTGGCTACTGAGTGCCACACATAAAGCTAGTGGCCATTTTGGTGAACCACATACTTCTAGAACCTTCCACGAAACTACCAGCCAAAACTTGGCCATCCACCAATCCTTTTGGGTCAATGGTAAATTTTCTCAAACTAAGAACGAGCACTCTCCACCATCTCCTGCCTTCCTTTGGCTCTCTGGGGGCTTCCTGTAACCTCCAGCCCTGGCTCCCGTCCCAGAAGATTAGCTCCATCACACAAGCCGCGCGGAGCCCACGCCTCCCACTGCCCCCCCCCCAGCACTGCCTGGCCCAGCCCAGGTCCTCACTGCACCAGCATGGCCTTGCCCCTCCCAACTACATCCCCCCCCCCCCCGTGGCCTTGCTCCATGTGGCTGACACCCCCCATCTCTGTGCACAACTCTCATACTCACGCCTCACAGAGGGAGTGTAAGGATGGGGGGGGGTCACTGGCCTCCATGGGTCAGCACAGGCAGCCCGTCCTGGGGTGGATGGGCATTCGAGAACACTCTGTGCACCCAGGGCCACGCTGAAAGCCTGGGGGGAATGGATGAGGTGAAGTCGACCTTCCGTGGGCGCTGGCGGGGGACGGAGGGGACTGTCGCTCAGCAGCCAGGGCGGGCTGATGACAGCCGTACCAGCCAGGACTCCCCGGGCCTGGACGGGGCGGGGGGGGGCAGTGCCCGCGTTGCTGACTGGACGTCCCACATGCACCGCAGACAGACTGCTGGACAGAGCTCTGACGGCCGCAAAGAGGAGGCTGAGCAAAGCTAGGGGCCCCCCAGGGCCGTGGGCTGGCAGGCAGGATTTCAGCTGAAGGGTTCTAGCAGCCAAGGAGGAGTTTGCTAGGCAGTGAGAAGCGGGGTACAGGGACAGGTCAGGCAAGGAGAGACTGCCCACTCTGGGTTCAGGGTGAAGCCAGCAATGCCACATAGGACCCCAGCCTGCAGGGCCTGCCCGGGCCGGGGTGGGAGGCCCCGAGTGCCAGGAGGGGAGCCAGGACTTGAGTCCTTCTCTCCTTCACAGGAGCAGAGGCCAGGGATCCAAGTTGGGGGGGGCATCCCTGGCCTCAGTTTCCCCTCCTTTTTCCTTCCTGGAGACTACTGAACTCCAGATGAGAGGTTCAAACACCCTGTGTCTGCCTGGCTGAGCCCTTATGATTTCTCCTCCCCTCCTTCCTTCCCTTCTTTTCTTCCCAGACCCGGGGTTTGAACTCAGGGCCTTGAGCTCTCATTCAACTTTTTCACTCCCAGCTGGTTCTCTACCACTTGAAGCACACCTTTTGTCTGACTTTTTGCTGGCTACTGGGAGATGGAATTTCTCAGGCTTCGCTGCCCAAGCTGGCTTTAAAACTCACCAGTGCACAGCCCTCCTTTCTCCCTCCCTCCTTTCCTCCTCCCCCCTTTCTTTCCAAAAGACAAAGCTTTGGAGTCCAGACTGCCTCAAAACTCAATCCTCCCACCTTGGCCTCCTAAGTGCTGGGATTACAGGCTTGTGCCACCGCACCCAGCTTTCATGATATATCTTACACATATACATCTGCAAACACAGACTCATATGTGAACACACCCAGTGGGTGACACATACTTGCACACACTCCTAGGTCTCCAGACCATACAGACACACACACACACACACACACACACACACACACACACACACACACACACACACACACACACACACACACACCCTCCTCTCACCCAGGCAACGATGGGGACCATTCACATGAGGCTGGCGCCAAGCTCCCTTGGTTACATCCACTCTGCAGCCTGGTGCCTGGCGCCGCTAACAAAATAAAGAAATATGGCGGTTCCAGGCTTTTAAACTTCTGATGACTGGTTTGCATAATCACGGCAGTGGGGCTGGGACGCAGGGCATCTGGGAAAAAATATTGTTTCTCTCCCTGGTGGCTTGGGAGAGGAGAGGGAGGCCGGAGCTGGGGCCTGGGCCAGGGCTGCAGGATTGTGCTGATGGCTTGGACTCCCTTTCTACGGGTGGGGGAGGTGGAGGGAGGGCAGGGGGATGGGTGGAAAGTTCTAGATCAATACCTTTATCACCGCCCTGATGTTTGGCTGCTAGATCATGTTTATTGCTAGCGTCTGCCCATCTCTGGTGTGGAAGCCACACGGCTGTGAAGGCAGGTCCGGGAGGCTTGGGGGCTCCCGTCAGAC